GGAAGAAAATGGATGGATGGATGGATGGATCAACTAACCTCAGATTATTTAAGATGTAGACTSTTAGAGCTGGATCATCAAACTAAACAACAAGGAGGCAAAAGGTTTTAGTTACAGATTAAGCTTATTTGTTGTTTAAAAGGGTTTCTCTGTCTGACCCTTGAGAGATTGTGAAAAACAGAGACCAGTGTTTTTTTTTACTTTATTACCCGAAACTTCAACTGTCATGCAATTATTTTGGTAATTAAACAGATTTTTCAATCATTTATCTCTTGTTATGCTAATAAAACAGCATTAAACATTATTATGACAATCAGCAGGTCTTAMTGGTATAAAGGTTTCACTGGAAAAGACTTTTAAGGTTGCCTAAAATGTCAGCAGTGGTGCCTGYAGATTATCTTGTTACTGTTTGACATTTGACTGGTTGTTTTGTTTATGCCATTCTTTTTATTGGCAAGCAGCTGTAAATAGATGCAACTCAAAAACCTGCGCAGCACAAACAGGGAGAGGTAACAAATGCCCTTAAACTCTCACTTCATCTCTGCTGTGACATGTTGCAGCAGGCATATCTGGAACCAAACGTTCCAACTCTGAACACATTCCTGGGTTGGGTGGAGCTGCCCRTCAGCACGGATGAATCAAACCAAAAAGAGAGGCTCCGCCTTTCTAAATGTACCAATCTTCCCAAACAATGAAGGCGCCTCTCCTGGCAACAAAGCAATCAGTGCTTCCAATGAGGAAGGGTTTGATTAAACTTRCGTAACACAGAGAAAAACAAGTGAAGGWTAGGGGAAAAAATGGCTGAGATCTMTGCCCAACCACAGGACTTGTGAAAAGTCAACAAATCCTTTTTCTCTGTAAGGGTGGAAGGTTTACAATCCCTCATGTTAGGACTTGCCTATTTGTTTTATTGTATTGTGTTTCTGCTGGCATTCAAGCCACAGTATGAGTTTCAATGTGTTTTGGGKTGTTTACGACAAACACTTTTTTTAAAACACAAAATTTATTACAAAAACATTTACAAGCACGCAAAAAGGTCGCACCTCAACACTGTAAAATATGCACATCCATTAYAGTTGTTTACAAAACCGCGTTTTCACGTTTCCTCTGCTCAACTGTAGGTAAATCATGACACAAATCAGGACTGTAACTTGCTTCTTTTTTTTTCTTTCTATTTTTAAATATTGTACAAAAGTCACAAAGAGTCCAATATGAACATCTGTGTGAAAGGAAGGAAAGTTGCAGCGCAGGCTGAACCTTTGAGGCTCGGCACTAACACAAGGAAAATCTTACACAGAAAAACCACATGGGCTGGTAAAACTGGCCAAAGAGGGATGACTCATGCTAGCAACGCTGAGGCCCAATCACACATTCAGACATGCAAGTTAGTCATTCCTTTAGGACCTTAGAGCTTTCATGCATTAAAATAAAACCATTTTAAATAGGCACAACATAGTGCAAATTCCAGATTTATGACACGTATACAAACTCTTTGGCAGTAAGGAAATACAGTTACAATGTTCTGTCTCTCATTAAAGTTCTGTTAAGTCTTTTCAGAACACAGAGGCAGAGAGAGCTTTGCTGTCTTGTCTTTGTTCTTTCACAAAGTCTCTCTGGTCATGGATCACGAAACGGCGACGCTGTATGAGGGCGCCGGCGTTTCAGGGGTGCCTTTGCCYGATAGTTTGACAGAGTTCGCCGCCATCAGGGTGCTTCCACTGGACATTTTGTTGGTGCTGATGGAGCGAGAGTGGTGGTTCGACGAGAAACACTCGTGGCAGCGTTTGCCGATCAGGTAGACGATTTCAAAGATGGAGAGGATGATGCAGACGAAGCTGGTGACCACCATGAAGATGGTGAAGATCTTCTTCTCGGTGGGCCGAGCGATAAAGCAGTCCACCATGTTGGGACACGGCACCTCCTTGCACTTGATAAGCGAGGGGAAGTCGTAGCCCTCGTAGATGTGGTAGAGGAGGTAGATGAAGGTGGCGTCCACCCCTATTTTGAAGAGCAGCGTGAGGACGTAGGTCCACCACAGGCCGCCGCGCTTCTTGCCGGTGTTCTGGTAGAGGCGGCTGCAGTTCTCGCCGAACTTGAGCCGGTGCTTGCGTTCCCTGTCCTCCCTGTAGGCCACGTGCATCACCACCAGGAGCGAGGGGCAGGTGACGAAGATRAGCTGAAGGGCCCAGAGCCGCACGTGGGACACGGGGAAGAAGTGGTCRTAGCAGACGTTGTGGCAGCCCGGCTGGGCCGTGTTGCACTTGAAGTCTTTCTGCTCGTCTCCCCACACCTTCTCCGCGGCCACCACAAACACCATGATCCTGAAGAGGAAGACAATGGAGAGCCACACTCTGCCGAAGGCCGTGGAGTATTTGTTCACCCCGCTGATGAGGGCCTGGAGGAATGCCCAGTTCATGATGGAAGTTTGTTCACAGTCGGTCTTCTCTTCCTGTAGATTGAAGACAGCCTCTTCTCAGCTAAAATGGCACGAATCAACTTCAGGTATTTACCAACCTGAGGCTAAAAAAGAAAAAAATATATACAGTTAAATCCCATGGAGACACATCAAAGAAACAAATCAGGTTGAACTGGGTGTTAACTAATCCTCATGTTTCCATACATTTAAACGAATAGGAACTTTTAGATAAAACATAAATGAGAATAAAAATTCAGTCGCCTGTAGTTTAACATGTTCTATTATAGACATAAAACAACAAACTGCCTTCATAGCTGTACGGAGAGTAAAACAAGACCCCTACTAAAACCAGTCCTTCCAAAGTTTGCGCCACGAACTCCTAAAGTTTCTACAACCGTGCGTAATTGCGCACAATAACGATACCCGCGGCTAAAACCATCAACTGAAAACAACCTTTTCCACACAGTTTGCGTTATTTCCTTTAAGAATCGCTTCAGATACTCACAGTTTGAAGTCAGTTTACGGAGCTTCGCCCACTCGGAGCGGCGCAGAGATGAACAACAGCGAGCAGAACCTCAACAGATCTGCCCCAAACAGGAGGAGGGAGAGCTGAGGGGAGGAGCTGCGCGCGCGCRCGCACGCACGAGCGGGACTCCCACGCCGCTCAACCTGCTCAGGTGCGGCTCCCARCACCCGAAAACTTGTTCCACCAATCCAGTGCAAAAAAACAGGATGTCGACAGAGCTTCATGCGTGCACGCATCCGTCGTGCCAAGACGTTTAAAACAACATGAACAAAACAGTTCTTCTTTCATTATGTAGAATTTATTTTTGTTTTACAGAAAAGAGCCTTAAGAATTATCACTAGAAAACATTATCCACCCATCAAATAATTGTTCCACCAGTTTAAGTTATTAAAGTTCTATGATTTGGTTAATTATAGTATTTAGTCAGTTATGTATAGGGCTCATAAAAACACATTAGGCTACTTTCAAACATCCAATTACACTTTGTTAAAAGAGAGTTGTTACAATCTCAAGGGGTTGAGATGTTTGTTAAATCCAAATTTGGAACCAGTTTGAAGGAATGGAATACTTCAATCCAGGGTATATGGAATAATCTGGAAGACATTTAAAATGCCAGATCAATGTGTGTATTTTAGAGAATGATAAAGGTTAATTTGTTGGGGAAATATGTAAATGTATCATGTATGAATTGTTGCTCAAGTAGGAGTTAGACCTTTATTATTATTTTTTGTAATCTGAGATTTTTGATTGAATTTATTTATTTGAGAAAAAAGGTGGATCTTTTCTTCTTCTGCTACTTTTAATTTAAGATTTGTATTTTTGTTGTATGTTGAATTTTTGTAGTATTTAAAGAAATTAAACTTAACTAGAATTTGTTTTAAACATATTTTAGGAATAAAACAGTGTAGAAACATTTATGTCAGTTTTTAATAGATGCTAAAAGCAAAAAAAATACTTTAACTTCTGGTTTCTTTAGAAAAATGGTTTTATTGAAATATTTACATTATAAAAAATGCACATGTATTTTTAGACAAACATCCCATCATACAAACATACAAACTAACATTCATTTTCTTTCACACATATTCTCCACAGTCTGAGATGATCACTTTCTGCTTCGGCTTGCCGTCTTTTGTTCCCTGAGCCTGAAAAACAAAAAAAAAATAAAAATAAAAAAAGAAGACTATTTAAATGCTAAATATTATTGTAATTGAAAGATTATCAACTTCAAATATGTCTTTATGTAAAATTATGATGCAGAAATCGTTCCTAAACCATGTGATTTTAATAAGGCGCATTTTTCATTAAATCCAGTTATTTTCCAAATGTTTTGTGACAATGCATTTTTTTATTTGCAGGTTGCTCCAGCAGAAACACATTGAGATGATCACAGATTCATTCATTTCAGGACTTACTTCCATTGATCGAAGCACATCCATCCCTTCCATCAGTTCTCCAAACACCACGTGTTTCCCRTCCAGCCAGTCGGTTTTATCATTGGTGATGAAAAACTGTGAGCCGTTGGTGTTTGGCCCGGAGTTGGCCATGGAGAGCTGGCCTGCGAGCAGCAGAGTAAACCTTTAGCCATATCAGATCAACCAAAAATAAAAAAAAAAAAGGTTAAATTCAGCTGCTCCTCACCTGGAGCTGTGTGTTTCAGGATGAAGTTCTCATCATCAAACTTTCGGCCGTAGATGGACTTGCCGCCGGTGCCGTTGTGGTTGGTGAAGTCGCCTCCTTGGCACATGAACTGAGGAATAATTCGGTGGAAGCTGCTGCCTTTGTAGCCAAAGCCTTTTTCATGAGTGCACAAGCAGCGGAAGTTCTCTACAGAAAATATAAGATGTTAAAAAAAATTTAAAGTTATTTCACAACTGTAGACCAGTTTATTTAATACAACAGAGAAATATGCAGCAGGAGGAAATCTTTTTTCACTCTTATGCTGGTATTTGAAGGAAGCAACAACCTCACCATTAGGCTGGAGTTTAAACAGGATGTTGGTGCGAAGATAAGAGAGATTAGCTGCACATTACTCTGAAAATAAGGCCTTTTGAACAAACGCCAGTACGTTATTAAGGAGAAGTCTTGTTTTACTTACCTTAAGCACGAGCCAAGAACAATCTGTACAACAACCCTCAGAGCTCACAAACACCAGTTCTTTGTTTGTACGCTGTACTTCAGTTCACCTTAATTAATTTAAACATCAGTGTACACAGAAGAAGAAACACTAAAGACGAATTACTGTAACATCTTCAAATAAACACGATCTCGTATTAGAGTCAAATGCGTGGGGAGGAGAAATTCTTGTCATTCCATCAATAAGAAAAAAAAGATAAAAAAATCAAGTTTCTGTAACTAAAATATTCACTTCATCAGTTTGTGTTGTTTATAAGATCATGGGTTGCAGGTAAACAGTTTGCAAAAACATTCAGAAAGATGAGTTGAAAAGAGACAGAGTCTTAAAAACMTAACACTGTGAACAAATTAAAGTAACATCACTTCCTTTTCCTTCACACAGTCTCTCAGGATGTAAAGATATGACACATCGGGCCATTTTTTTAGCAAAGTTTTTCTGTGGAACACTGCAAATTGTTCATTCTATAAATGCTTTCMTGTCAGGCTAAATTACTTGTGCAACTAAATGATCCAAAGTTTTTAAGTGTCYTGTACAAAACTCTGATTTATTACTGTTTTCTTAGTAAACACCTCATAATCTGCATTTGCAGAATGAGGGGTTGTTTTCATCCCWTAAAAGGTTGGAGTATCGTGCAAACGATGTGTGAATGTGTTGCTCTGAGTCAAATGACAATCAGAAAAATATATTTTAACGACTATCTCAAAATAAGTGTTTCCTCAAAATACAAATACAAGTTAATACTAGTTAACAGAGAGCAAAATCAWGTTTTTCCCCAACCATGGTATAAAGAGGGCGGTGCATCCCGCTAACACAACTTTCCTCCCTGTCCTGTTGAGGACTCGTCTTAATTATGGGAGTAAATTTTGATTGTTTTTTTGAATATGTAGTACCACAGTAAGTTTCAATATTTTCTATTTTACAAGTAAAATATTGTGTCACGGGAGGAGATATATAAAAGATTCAACTAAAGCAAATTAAATCACAGAATTTTTAATGTTCTGTAATTTTTATTTTTAGAGAGCTGCCCACTCTTTTAATAAATATTAAGTTAACATTTCTGCTGTCGATCATCATTCTGTGTTCAAAAGCACTCCCAAAGCCAAAACTCTACAGGAAACACTGTACTACCTGTATAATGAGCATTTTCAGTGCTTTGCCAGGTTTTTGGTTCGGAAAAGGAAATTGTGAAAGACTCTAAAAGCAAAACAAGACGACTGTTTTCCCACTAACTGAGTCATTTAGCTTCAGTCAATGTTGCTTTTAGATTTATTTGCACATTAAATGGGACTCACACTAACTCTAAATTCTGATCCCTGCAACAAGTCTCTTAACTATCTTTAAAAAAATAAAAGAGGTATGAGTCAAAGAGACCTGCTGTCATTGGAACAATGTCTGCCCGGAGGAGGAAGCGCAGTCTTCCTGCTGGCTTGTTGCCAATCTTGATGTCCATGTAGACCTGGGGATTAACTCTGCCCTTCTTGGCTGGTGGCTCGCCCTGCAAAAACAAATTATTCTCCACTTCAGCGTGTAAACAATCAAGTTCCCACAAATGGTAAATAGTACAAAAGGTGCTTTTCTGCCACTGGGAGCAACTAAGGGTTGAGTCATTTCAGCTAAAGTCAAGCTAGTGTAATTATAAAGTCCCTGTTTACAACAAAACTCAACTCCGCCATTGTATAAAAGGCAGCTTWTAATCAAAGCTGATGTAATTTATTAAACTGGAATAGTTTCTAACTGTTAAATAGAAAAAATGTTAGATTTTCTGTAGAAAAGTTTAAAGCTACAGACAACGGATCATACTAAATCTCCTGTCAATAAAAATGATTTTATGATTAAATGACCCCTTTTATTAACAAGCTCAGCACAAAATAAAAGAGAAGCAGCCTCACCTCCTGTGTTGAGGTGGCCCCTTCGCCAGCGTTTGCCTCCCCTTCGGCCTCTTCCACAGTTTTCCCCGAGAACTTCTTCAGCCAGTCATCGTCCGACCACACTGTGGGAGAGGCACCGTCACAGACACGTCCAGACAACAGACTAAAAGCAGATTTCTTTCCAGTCACCTGGTCGAGAAGATCCCTCTTTGATCCTCATGGGCTTGGCGATGTTGACACGGACCGTTCGCCCAAAAAGTTCGGATTCGTTCTGGTAGAAAGAGGGCCAGCATTAAACAAGTGGTTCATTTCTGAGAACTTAGACACATAAAACAAAAATACTGACTTACCATGTTATCAATAGCTGCTGCAGCATCCTGCAGAAAAAACAACAACAAAATATTTATAAAATGTGAAACTTTTGTAAATACATTTCAGATTCTGATGCTCTTATTTAAATTAGATCCTTTGAGCAACAACTTTGGGCTGTATGGGTTTTATTTGTCTTTGTTTAATTAAGTTTTTTATACTAAATAAAAGGATTTGTTCATAAAACTGGACTGTTATTTACATTGTTCATTCACACAAATAATTTTCTAATTATTTGACAGCATTTAAAATAATCAGTAAAATAAATAAAATAAAATCACCCTTCTTTGTTGTGTTTTATATTATATTTTACATCTAAACAAAGGGATTTTATGTAATTTAGCTCTATGCTGCAAAAATGTTTAACTACAAGCRCTTACATATGCAGACTTGAACGATTAAAACAAGCTGATTTATTATCATATGCATGTAAATTAAAATTCTAACATTTTTATTTCAACATTACATATCTGTGCAGACTTCACAGTGAACATACCTCTGCCAGTTCAAATTCAATGAATGCAAATCCTCTGTGTTTCTCTGAAAATTGAACATGAGACACAAGAGATTACTGTTAGCAGAAGCTACTATATCAGACATAAACGACTGGACTTACCTGTTTCATAGTCTAAAGGTATCTGGATATCTATGATGTCCCCAAAGGGAATAAAAGCTGCATGTAAAACCTTTTCATCCACCTCCTCCGCCAAGCCACCTGACAGAAAACACAGCCAGAACTGATAATTAGGCATTTACCCAAAACAATAGTCAAAGTGTTCAGATTCAGTAGGCAAAATGACACATTTAAATCATCTAAATTTATAGTCAAGTAGTCGTTTTTTAGACTATTAATTGTTATAGAAATACATAATCTAATTTAGCGAAAATATAATTGTAAAAATAGCTCTATAAGTTTTTCCACTTGCTGTTCTTTTACATATAAAGTTTGAATCTTGCGGTTCTGCTTTATTTACACKGCCGTTGTTTTAGGAAACAGTTCAGCAAAAAATAAATAAATATATAAGGAAGAGAACATATTTAATTCACAAAATTTAAGGGAAAAATTGTCAAACTCACCGACATACAACACTCGCTTGTTAGCCGCCATGTTGGAGTTAACCCTTCAACTTTGACCCCAGCTGCTGATTGGTGGAGTCGAAATAAGACCCGCCTACTGGATTTAGTTTTCACTGGCGCCACCTGGTGGTCAAATCTGTCATCACTGTGACAATCACTTCAGTTTCACAATAAAAAGTCTGAGCTGTATTTGAACC